AGCACTGGCGGTTGCACGAGGCAGGGCTGAAGAGCTCACTTCAGAGCAAAACCTGTCGGCACCCCCAGGACACATGAATAAACCCAAACATCTCTATGGGTCCCCGCTCCGATATCTCGAGAAATTTTCTTCTTCAAATCCAAGGGGCCCCTTGCAGCAGAAACCATCAGCCCCTGGTAGGGGCCAGGCCCCGACTCTGCCCCTAGGCGGAGGGAGGAAAGTAACAAGTCGTGCAAGAAAGCAGAGAACAGAGCTTTCTAACGGGCCTTTCCGCTTCGCCATCGCTACCCAGGCCGCCCAGAAAGAGCTGTCCCTGGTTCCATCTGCCTGTGCCTTTCCTTCTTCCACTTTCATTGGGCCAGGGGGTCTTTATTCAGCCATGCTGGTCTCCTTTGCTTACCTGATCATAGGAATTGAGAGCTCTTGTGTTTTACGAAAAATGTCCTTAAAAAGTGCCAGCTCTGTTCAGCTCGTTTGTCCCTGAAGGCAGTTTCCCATGGGGTCCCATCCGCTAATTTAATAAAAAACTGAAAGTTTGCTCTCCTAAAATTCAGGGCTGTGACTATTCTACTCTTCACCTGGCCCATATACTCGAAACTGTAAATTCCACCAGAGCATGATCACTGCAGACCAGGCTGCCACCAATTTTGACATCTCTAATTAGTTCTTCTGTGTTGGTGAGCAACAGGTCCAGCAACACTTCTCCTCTGGTCAGGCTGTCTATCACCTGGATTAAGAAATTATGCTTGACACACTGCATTTAGCGCACTGCTTTCATTCCTGTCTGGCTCTTGTGCTTAAAAGCATGTATTTCTAAGCCGCCTGAAATGGGCTATATTTCTATGTTTTCTCACCTCAACCTTCTGCCTTTTAATTCATTTCCAGCTAAAGTTTGAAAGTTTCAATTTGACCTCTCCCAACCTATTTAACACAAAGGGCTGCTTGTTATGCACTGACTATGTAGCTGTGTCAGACTTTTACCATATGGGATATTACCAGAGCTAAAGCTAAAACAGATGAGATGGTAATCACTTGATAAATTGACAGCTAAAACCAGCACAGGCCAGGACAGTCCTGAGACCATGCACTGTTAGGTCAGTACAAAATCTGTGGCCTTTAATTGGTCATGGCAAAAATCATGTCAGTGTTCTTACAAATATTTTATAATACTCTTAGAAATTTACATTTTTTTCCTGCAGCTGTAGTGGTGCAACTCTGATTTATGCAGAGATGGCACCTAGTCTGTCAATGCCATATTTGTATCTATAACATAAAACAGCTTTAGATTTTTTTCAAATATATCAGATGTGGGGAAAATACTGAATGTGAATAGAATAAAGTCTGTATGTGTGGTTCTTTGAAAGACAGACATCTATTTTTTTTCATTAAATACTGCTTCGTTAGCCCTTGGTTTTGTAAAACAAATGTGGCTGCAGAAGATACAGCTCCGATGCACTGAAATCCCACGCATCCAGGTAGATTCACTGCATCTCTCATACTTTCATCACACTTTGCAGTTCAACACACTTGCCATCTTTCACACACAAGTAGTTGCAGACTGCTTTTAGTGAAATGCTTGCTATATATGAAAGTTCAGTGGGATTTGTGGAAGGAAGGTTGATCTAATCCCTGGAAAGTTGTGGCATCCTGGTACATGTGGATCACAAAATTCCACAATGCTTGCCTTTTCTGCCTTTGACTATTTATCATATGGTCTCCTGAGAAAACCAAACACAAGTTTGTTCTCCAGCTTGTTTTCTAGACATGGTCTATTTGTTAACAATGCTTTACTACCTCTGAAATTTAAGCCACAATGAGAGGACAAAATTTACAAATACAGACAATTCCCATCATTTGCCTTAAAGAACATAGAAGCAATAACCAACTTAGGTATCAGAAATAAATTATTATATGCTATATATACATCTAAAAGCCTGCAAAAAATGGCTTTGTATTGTTCTGTGCTCTCTTCAGAACTGACTAGCACGTGTTGCAGAATAAACACACACTCTGCTTCAGGGGTTCAGACAGGCAGGAGCAGTTGATTGCTATAGCTGTAGGAGAGAAGGCAGAGCAACAGAGGTTCAGCTCTCCATCCATACTGGCTTAAAACAAAAATACTGACTAGGGCATATACACATTTACAGTGGATATAAGCAGCTTTGTGAAGGAGCCTGATATAGCAGAGCAGCATCTCAACCTTTGTCACAGCAGCTGTACCCCTCTGCTCCTGATAACTCAGAACCTGCAGTGCCACCCATGCATCTCGTCAGCCCGTCCCCCTCTCGCTTGTGATGCTGCTGTGTCCTTGGACAACTTTTAGGCCTAGTGAGTCCTGCTGCCACACAGTTACCTGTTGTGATTAAAAACAATTTCTCCTGCAGTGTTTGCTTTGTTAACATATTTTTTCCACTTTTCTATTATTTGTTTACATAATAAATGACTTACATATGCACATGAAATCACAAGTTCTATGTTTTTCTGCCCATCTAAATAACTTAAAATATAGTCATTCAGGGAAGAAGGCATTCTCACCGCTTAACTGTAGGAATCTGAGGTAGGTTGCTTGATGGAGAGACAAAGGAAGTGAAAGAAAAATGTGAGAACCAGAGGGACACTGGAAGGGTGAGCGTCACACCACAGAAAAGGGACAGATGCCAGGAAGAGCTCTTTCTCTGTGTCCCAATTTTAACTGTACTATTGAGGCCTTTCCACATTAATTTGAACTACAAGTGGGTATTGCTGTAACTGGTCTAATACACTAACTAGACTAAACTAAGAGCACATTCTTGGTTCTATATACATGCCCATACAGGTAATTGCATATATACCCTCTTTGTCCTAACAAGAATTTGTAACAGAAAAGAGAATAGAGAGTTTTAATTTACCAGGCATCCCCCTGCAGCTCCCATAAACAGGCAATCATTTGGCTTGGAAAGTCTGTGAGATCTGATCCCAGTCTGCTGAAGCTCAGCTCTGAACACATCTGTATCACTGGACTGAGAAGGTGGTAAGATAGCTTTAAGCTTTTTTTGGCTGTTTTGGAAAACTTCAGTATTTTTTACATAAATGAGTTGAAACTGACCACTGTTTTTATCTAGATGTTACGGTTAATCAGTGTTTCCAATTTTAAGTCAGACACTGAATGAAACACACCTGTCTCATACACTTTGTTTCAAAGATATTAGTGAAAACCCCTACATTAAGTGTTCCTTTGAGCAGGAAGTTAGTAAGTACAACATAAGCCTATACAGGCCACAAAACAATGCTCAGATTCCAAGTACTGCCTTTAACACATTTTTTATGATATGGTTAGTGGATCCATCACAAATAAAAATTAAAAAAAAAGTAAATTAAATATGCAAAAACATAAAAATTAAGAATAAAACACTACCTGCAGCTTCTTGTTGATGAAGTAAGAGAACTTCAAGATGTATTTTCTATCATCTTCTGCACAAAACTGCATTTGAAGTAGTTTTGACTATACGGACAATCACAAGAAACTGGTCTGAATTAAATGAAATAATTATACCTAAAACAAGTTGTATTTTATGAAAATAACATTACCTTCAGAATCCTCAGGGAGGCAGTGCTTGCTCCTTTTTGTACCTTCATATGGCTAAGTCATTCCCATTCATTTTCAATTCAGGGACCTTGTCTATATGCTCCTACATGCTGTTTTACTTTGGGGCTTTAATATTGAGTGAATCGCATAAAACCTCTGATGAGAAATCCTATCAGCTTGCAGAGAAAACCTGCCAAATCAGAAAATAATATGCCAGATCTACAGACAGGCTGATAGCCTAAGAGACATCCGTCTCCATATTTATGCTTAAGTCTGTTTTAAAGAAGGGGTATATGGAGGTCCAAAGAGACTGAGAACTTTATTGCCGTATGTAGGGATCTTGTCTTCAGGTGAGAGTTGGTGTTGGGCCAGTATTCCAGCAATGTTATGAAGTTACTTGCTAATATCACACTACTGTTGAAGCAATGAGCAATTACAAGATCTCAGAAGAGCCCTAAATGAACACTATACATTTGTCCCTAGCATGCTGCGATTTAAAAAAACCCCAAGCTCAAACCAAACAGGTTATTGCCTGTGCAATCAATAGAGAATCCACCATCATCAACAGCTCTCTGGAGCCAGGCTCATGGCTGTATGTGAAGCCCAAGGAGACAGGTTGCGCCAAGTACTGAGCTGTTTCCTACTTGCTGCTTAAACCATGTCAGAATTCATTCTGTCCAAGCCAAAGAATGCCAACAAAATGCAGGTTTTATTTAGAAAGCCCAGGCCATTTTCAGCAGCAAACATTTAGACATCTCCAGGGTGGTTTAGTCTGGAGAAGAGGAGGCTGAGGGGAGACCTTACCACCCTCTACAACTACCTGAAAGGAGGGTGTAGCGAGGTGGGGGTCGGCCTCTTCTCCCTGGTAACGGACAATAGGACGACGGGAAATGGTCTGAAGTTGTGCCAGGGCAGGTTTAGGTTAGACATTAGGAAAAATTTCTTCACAGAAAGGGTTGTCAGGCTCTGGAATGGGCTGCCCAGGGAGGTGGTTGAGTCCCCATCCCTGGATGAAGGATAGGTGAGGTGCTTAGGGACATGGTTCAGTGGTGGGATGGCAGGGTTAGGTTAATGGTTGGACTTGATGATCTCAAAGGTCTTTTCCAACCTAGACGATTCTATGATTCTATGTAGTGGCTCAAGAAATATGAGCCATTGAAGACTAAAATTCAAAATAATCAAACCCCAGTCCATTTGCGTAAATATCTCCCTTATTTT